TTTTAACTTTTTATTTATCAAAGAATCCTGTGGTACAAAAGTATCACAGGCCCCAAAAATATTAAGCAGCACAACGGTTTCCAACATTCATTATAAATCAGCATATTAGAATGATTTCTGAAGGATCTCGTGACACTGAAGACTAGAGTAATGATGCTTCACTAGATTGAATGCATTAGATTTTAAAGTATATTATTTCACTCACAAAAAAAATTCTGTATATTTGATCAAATAGATACAGCCTTGAGCATAAAAAAACTTCTTAAAAAAACATTAAAATTCTTACAGATTTGAAACTTTTGAAGTATACTGTATATACTCTCTAGGTACCGGTTTTAATCATCTGCAATCTGAATGTTTTAAAGTCTCACCCCATTTCTGTGTAAGTTCATTCAACATTATGTTATATAGATTTTATTTAGCACATATTTAAAAGAATTAGTCAGTTTTAGGTTCTTTCCCATTACATTTCCTGTGGTATATCAAATTTGACCACAAAACTGTGATATATTTTTAAATGACCACTTAGACTTATCGAATGATGTCCATTTTTTTATTGTTCAGATGAAGTAGGTAAAAAATGACCAAAAAGCTTATAAGAAGTGAAGACTGACCTTGTAAGAGTAAGTGTACATCATCAATGTCCAGTGGGACACCCCCCTCGTCCTCTGCAGGAGCGCTGCTTTCACCCCCTGATGCCATTACTGCTGTTTCGACACTCTCACACACTCATTCCCACTAAAATGAAGAAGAAAAAATACATATATATATATATAAAAATGGTTGTTAATTATTGTAATCACAAACAGCACACTTCTAAAAAAAATTTATTAGATCTCATTCTTTCTTAATCAGTAAGCACAACATTTTACATTTTCACCTCCTGTGCTCATGGAGACACACTGATAAAGTAAAAAAAAGTGTGAACTTGTATTGTTGCCTGTTTTGATATTGATCAGAAGACTGTGCAATGAAAACAACTTCACATGACTGATTCAGCATCAGTTAGCAAATATGAACAAGTGACAAAGACAGCAATTCAGTTTCATATGGCACAAAGGCTGACCCTTTCTTTTATTATGGACAGATTCAAATGGCGAGGCGCAATCCGAGGCGAGGTCTCAAATACTACATTGCAGAGATACAACATAAAGAGCTCCATCAACAGACTCTTAATCACACAAATAATTTTGAAGGTACTGTAAGTTAGTTTGAGGGAGAAAGGGCTCATGAACAGATAA